GCTGGACGCTGACGCCCACGCCGACGCCGACGCCGACGCCGACGCTGGCGCCGACGCTGACGCTGACGCCCTCGCCGATGCCGACACCGACGCCGACGCTGACGCTGACGCTGACGCCGACGCCGACGCCAACGCCGACGCCGACGCTGACGCCGACGCCGACGCCGACGCCGACGCCGACGCCGACGCCGACGCTGACGCTGACGCTGACGCCCACGCCGACGCCGACGCCGACGCCGACGCCGACGCCGACGCCGACGCCGACGCCTACGCCGACGCCGACGCCGACGCCGACGACGACGCCGACACCGACGCTGACGCTGACGCTGACGCCTTCGGCCAGCTGGCGCCGGGGTGGCAGCCACCGCCGCCGCTCGCGGCTGGGCCGAAGGAAGAATGAACCGCTGCCTGTCCGACCGCCTCCGCCACCAGCTGGCAGGCGACGGGGCCCGCAGCAGCAGCAGCGCCCTCGGCAAGGTTTTCCGCGGAGGCTCCGCCTGGCAAGCCTGATGCCGCTGCCTGGCCAACCGCGCCCTCGCCAAGGCAGCGCCGCGGCCGCAACTGGGGTGACCACGGCCGCCGGCGCCGCCAGCTGGCCAGTTGCGGCGCCCGCGGCAGGTGCGCCCTGGGCAGCCGCCGCTGTCGCCGCCTGGTTCGCTACGGGGCCTGCGTCGGGAACGCCTTGGGCAGAGAGGACGCCCCCTGCGAAGCTTGACGCCGCCGCCTGACCGCAGACTGCGCCTTCGCCGGGAAGGGGTGCCGGCGTTGCCGTCTGGCTGGCCGCGGCGCCCGCGGTAGTAGGAACGCCTTCGGCCGCGCTGGCCGCGGGGGGCGCCTTTCGCGAAGCCTGGCGCCGCTGCTTGGGCCTGGTCGCCAACTGCAGAGAGGGGGGGGCGAGCTGCCGGACGGGCACTGCTTGGCCGGCGGCGGCGGCCACGGCACCAGCAGCGCCCCCCAGCAAGGCCTACCGCGGGGGGATCTGCCCGAGAAGCCAAGGCCTGCTGGAGCTAGCGAAGCTGCTGGCGTCGCGGTCGCGGCAGGGCTCTCGGCACCGCCCGCGGCTTCGCAGGACGGGCTGGCCCGCGCCGCCGCCACGGCCGTCTGGCCGATCCCCACCGCCGCAGCGTGGCTGGCGGCGGCGCTGGCGACCGCTGCGCACTCGGGAGGGCCCGCCAGCGGGGCGCTCACCCCCGCGGAGGCCGCGGTGGCGGCGGGCGCAGCCGTGCTGGCGGAAGGCGCCAGCTTCACAGAAGGCTTCGCGGACGCCGTCCAGGAGACCCTCGACCATCTCGAGGCCGACCAGGGCCGAGCCGCAGGCCACCGTCGAGGCGGTCGCGGCGATCGCCATGGAGGCAGCCGCTGCCCCTGACGGCGCGCCACCCGCAGCCCCGGGGGTGGCGGCCGAGGTCCCGACGACCCCGCCCGCAGAGGCCCCCCCGCCCTCCGCGGAGCTGAGAACCTTCAAGGCCAGCCTGGCGCAGGCCAGCTCCACCACAGTGGCGCCGTGCGCGGGCCTCGCGCCCTCCCTGGATTTCGAGTTCGCAGCGAAGGTCTGTTCGCGCCACGAGGTGGCGCAGCGCCAGGAAGGATTCGGCACCACCGAAAGCCGTGTCGAACCGATCGAACTCCAGGCCGGCCGCGTCTTCCACAAGCCCGAGCCGGGGGAACACACGGCGGCGGAGGGTGGCAGGGTGGGGACACGCAGAAGTGGGTCCCGCGCCTGCGCATCCCGTCCAGGCCGTCGGAGCGCGTAATCGCCAAGGCCAGCCTCCAGGCCGATGCGTCGACAGGAATCGTGGTCGCGAATGGCATTTGCTCCTGCTGCGGCGGCTGCCATTCCTCCTCATTTTCCTCCTCCATCCCCCGTCCGCCCTCCCTTTGTGGCGGCGCTCGCGGCAAGGCGGCGACAGCCGCGAGAGGCAGTCCTAACGCATTGATTGTCCACTTGATGATCCCCATCTCACTTCTCCCTCCCCTTTCTCCCCCCCCCCTCCCCCCTCCGTCGCAGCGACCACCCTGCCAGGGCCCCCAAACAGCCCAAACACCCCAGGCCCCCCCAGACCCCTTCAGACGGACCAGGAAACACCGAAAAATGGCCCCGCGCAACTCCAGAGATCCCACAATTCTCCTTTTCCTCCTTTTCCTCCTCCTCCTCCTCCTCCTCCTCCTCCTCCTTCTCCTCCTCCTCCTCCTCCTTCTCCTCTTCCTCCTCCTCCTCCTCCTCCTCCTCCTCCTCCTCCTCCTGTTTGCCGTTGCTCAGACTTTGGTTACCTGGCTGAAGCGTTCTTGCGAGAGTAATAAAACAGGTGTATGTGTCAGAGTCGGCGCAGTAGCTGGCGGGCGCCGCGGGTATAGAAGGGAATAGAGAAGTGCGGCGAAGCTGGGCACCTAGAGCAGGCGCCCGCCAGGTAGAACTTAGGGCCGCTGAAGTACCTAGGTAAGTAACCTCTTCGCCCCCTACCCCGCTAGTTCTATGCCCCACAACCTAGATCTCGCGTACTGGCTGCCTCGGGTAAGAGTGCAATTGATGAGCGGTGGGGAAAGACAGCATGTAGAAAAATGGCGTCGGTGACTATCAAAGGCAAGGCTGGCCTATTAGGCTGGCCTCTGCTGTGTAAGTGCGGCGTCATGCAACAGGCCGGGATACATTAGGACTACATTTCGGCTGAGAAATGGGCAGTGTGAGCACACAGCTGCTATGCACTGCCTGGTGTAGAGGAGGCTGAGAGGCAGGCAAAGTGCACAGCTGCGAAGTAGCTAAAGGACGGCCGTAGCTGCGCGCCGCTAGCAACTCGTGGCTCCTCGGATGGTACAGAGTCCTTGAGTAGGGAGGGCCTGTGCTCAGAGACCCAAGGTTGGTAGCCGTACTCGCCCCCGCCCCAGCCACCCCGAGTACCACCACCACCCCATCACCAACCACGATCAGATTCAGGAAAGTCAGGCTGCGAGGTAGGCATTGTGTACAGAGCTGCACGGTATCATCAGCGCGATAAGAACTGCGCGATGCTTGCAATCTGCGGCTCCTTGGGCTACAACAAGATGAGATGCGAACTGTAATTAGTGGCGTCGGGTGATTACCAAAGGCAAGGCTGGCCTGCGCGGTGTGAGTGTGGTGGCATGCTAACGTGCTGGGCAACAGCAAGACGAAGTGAGGCTGAGAAGTGGGCAATGTGGGCACAGAACTGCCAGGCATTGCCTCGTGTGAGAGGCTAAGCTGTAGGCAATGTGCACAGAGCCGCGAGTTAGCCACAGGTCGGTCATAGCTGCGCGCCGCTCGCAGCATGTGGCTCCTTGGGGGGCGCAAGGTCCCTGAGTAGGGTGGGCCTGTGCTCAGATACCCTGGGTGGGGTGCCGCACGTGCTCCTGTCCCAACCACCCGCAATACCTCCACCCACCCACCACCTGTCAATGTTGGGCTCAGGCAAATCAGGCTGAGAGCACGGCAGCGCGCACAGAGCTGCGAGGTAGCCACTGGACGGCAAGAGCTGCGCGCTGGTTGCACAGTGTGGCTCCTTGGGTGGTGCAGGGTCCCCGAGCAGGGGGGGGCCTTTACTCAGAGGCCCAAGGTGGGTTGCCGCACGTGGGTGGGCTGAGAGGTGGGCAATGGTTTCCGCTCGTTCCGAATCGAGCTCCCGCTGCAGCGCTGGCCTCATTTCCGCGCTTCCGCTCGTTCCGAATCGTGTTCCCGCTGCAGCGCTGGCCTCATTACCGTTCGATCCGAATCTTGGTCGTTCCAAATCGTGTCACCGATGCTCTGCGGGCGTTTCCCGTCCTTTCAAATAGACCTAAATGCAAAAAGCGGCTTCCGAAGAAACACCGGAAGTGATTACACATATGGTGCCGATTCGTTGATTTTTGGGGCCGCAGACGGCCCCGCCCCTCTTTTGGGGCGCGGTCGTTTTGGTGAAGTATCAGGCGGGAGCCCGTTTCTGCTTTGAGAAGGCGATGTTGAAAGCAGGGCCAGCGGGTTCTCTCCATCAGCCCCGCCTCGTAGGGAGCTTTCCGGAGAGCCTGGGAGCTGAACATGGAGCTGCGACTTCAGACCGGCCCAGACCTCTCGAAGACGATCAACTTACACTCGAAGGAACCTGGTGCCATGCCATGACATGCAGCGAAGCGTTGTTTTCTGCGCCGCTGTGCGATGCCATGTTTCGTGATGCAATGCTTCACTGCGCAATGCCACGCCATGCTATGACATGCTACGCTCTGCCATACTCTTCTACGCCATGCTGTATTTGCCGTGCTACACGATGCATCGCGTACCCTCCTGGGATCATTGCCCTGCTCGACATCCGACTGTGCGCATGGAGAGGAGATCTACGCCATGGTAAGGGATAGCAGGGAGGGGTAGGACGTCAGATATGACGCGAGCGCACCTAGCTTACCCTCCTCCCCCCTCTCTCTCTTCCCCCTCCCTCCTCCCTCCTCCCCCTCCCACCTCCCTCTCCAGCCTCCCTCCCTCCCCCGCCCTCCGGGAAAGCGATCCCCCGGGTTGGGCCCGCGGGGTCCCCGCTCGGCTCGCCGAAAGACTGGACGGACCGGAAGGACGAGCCCTCCGGCTCGGTGGCGCCCTCCTGCGCGGGCGCGGCCTCGCCCCGCGCGGCCTCGCCCCGCGCGGCCTCGCCCCGCGCGGCCTCGCCCCGCGCGGCGGCGCCCCCCTGCATGAATCCCCGGATCCCCCGTGTGTTTCAACATGTCTGGGATATTCGATTTCCCGCCCATTGTCCACATATGTATCTGTATACGTGTATGTCTGTGTATATATGTATATATATATATATATATACGCATACAGGTACGAGGGTTTCTCTCCCCCCAGTGTCCCGCATTTCCCATTCATCTTATCGGAGTCTACGTTTACCTGCGTCTGTGCCCTATTCTCCCCCTCCTGACCTGCCCCTGCGCAGCATCGCCCTGCCCGGCAGCGTCGGCGGGGCACGGCGGCACAGCCGCGATCGTCTCCAGCACGGCCTCGAGGCTGTCCAGCTCAAGGACCCCGGGGAGCCGCACCCGCAGCCCCTGGCTTCGATGGCATAAACGATCCTCGTTCGTCCTCGATTCTCCTCCTCGATCCTCGATCCTCCTCGGTCCTCCTCGGCCCTCTTCCCCTCGATCCTCCTCCTCGATCCTCCTTGATCGCCCCTTCCTCCTCCTCCTCCTCCTCCTCCTCCTCCTCCTCCTCCTCCTCCTCCTCCTCCTCCTCCTCCTCCTCCTCCTCCTCCTCCTCCTCCTCCTCCTCCTCCTCCTCTTTCTCCTCCTCCATCATCCACCTCTTTTCCTAACAAATAACTCCTCTCTGTCGCGCCCCGATGCCTGTCGAAAGGGAGGGCCGGGCATTTCGCCTGAGACTTCCTCACCATCTATGATCCTGAAGCTTTGAATTTGCAACAGATTTACGGATGGAGGGCGGGTGGTTTTCAAAATGTGGCTCTCGCCTGAGCGCCGCGCATATTCGTCATCAGAGTTTTCCTGGATGGAGGGCGGGCCATTTTCGAAATGCTGCTCTCGCTTTAGCGCCGCGCACGCTCGTCTTCAAAAAAACTGCACGAACTTCACGGATGGAGGGTGGATCGTTTTCTTTCAAAATGCGGCTCTCGCCGCGCACATGCGTTTCAAAACGTTGCAAAAATTTCACGGATGGGGGGGTGGGGCGTTTTTCAAAATGTGGCTCTCGCCTCAGCGCCGCGCACCTTCGTCTTTAAAATTTGCAAGAGTTTCGCGGAAGGCGGCTCCTTTTCAAAATGCGGCTCTCGCGTTAGCGCCGCGCGCACTTGTGTTAAAACGTAGCTTCATGGATGAAGGGCGGCTTCTGTTCGAAATGTGGCTCTGGACTTAGCGCCGCGGTCATTCGTCTTAAGAGTTCGCAGCATTTTCAAGGATTCGCGCGGCTAGCGTCCCACAAATGGTGTTTTGGTACGCTGTCGGACAACCAAGGCGCAAGAGTCACATGGATTCGCGGCGTTGAAGTTTTAGGAATACTGTTTTGGCGCAGTTCAGGGCCGTCACACACAACAATAAAGGCGATTTGAAACGTTGAAGTCCCAAGGACTGGTGTTCTGACACACTCCCTGATGTTCAAACGGCTGTCTTCCGACGGGGCACTTTCCTGAATGAAAACGAACCCTTGTATGGGGCTTATGAAAAGGGAAGTTGTAGGGAGGGTTTTTGCAAGATCGTTAATGCAAGATCGTTGATGAGTCTGAGTCTTGGCTTTGCAATGGTCCTCCTCCGCCTCCTCCTCCTCCTCCTCCTCCTCGATCCACCTCCTTCTCCTCCTCATCGATCCTCCTCCCCACGTAGCCGCTTTGGCTCAAGATGGCTAGTCAGGGGGCTGCCAGCCCCAGAGCTATCAGGGATACCTCTAGTCCGGGGATACCTGGCGGATACCTTTCAATCGGGCGTCGGCAGCGCGCGCTGCCGAATGGCGATGGTGCGGGGCGGTGACGGGGCGAGCAATGACTGGCGGAGTTGGCCGAGAGACCAGAGCCTCCTCGCTGTGGCTGTGGGTGTTGGAGGCACTGCCGCTCAATCAACAGCAGGGATGACAAGTGTCACTGTGGAGCAAGGCTGGCCGCCTTGATCCCTCCCTGGCACCTCTACAACAAGGACAACGGGAACAACCACGGGCGCTACGTTCCCACGTCGGCCATGTGGACAAGCAGCTGGACGGGAGACGGAAGCCGCCCACCCATCAAGGACATGGACCTGGTGGATCTGGCGGCCAAGAAGTAGGCAGCCCTGGGCAAGGTCAACCCACAAAGAGCAAACTACAAGGCAATCTGGTCCACACTGGCGACAGCTCAGACACCTGCAGCTGCGCCGCTGGTGGCTGGGGAGGCCGCCGCTAGGAAGCTGGACAAAACCCAGCTCACGGGAAAAGCCGCGGAATCCGCCGAGAACGCTAAACCAACTTTGGCCGACTGCGAGAAGAAGCTCCTCGACCACGCCGCAACCGTCCAAGAAGCAGAGGAGTTCGACACCGCGAAGGCGCAGGTCGGCAGACCCCCAGCACAGTATCAGAACCAGGAGCACCAGCAGGGGGGCCGAATGCCCAAGCACTCCTGGCAGAACGCGAGCACGAACCATGCGATCTCTACAAGTGGGCCGACACGGACCAGGCCACGCTGGAGATCATGGCCAACGCCGCAGCCGACCATGAAGCAGCAATCAACGAATTCGACGGCAAGGTCAAGGCGGAGACCGAACAGCATCAAGAACGGCTGCGGGCGCTCGAGCAAACAAAGATCAAGAAGCAATCTTACCAAACTGCACCTGGAGAAAAAGAAATCCCAGCTGTAAAGAAGCCGTGCAAAAGTGGCAGCCAAATCAGATCGGAGTCTGCACCAGCGGAAGCCAGCCGCAGCCAGGAAGCAGGAGACATGGCCAACGGGGCAGCAGCATCGTCAGACAAAGACAATGGCAAAGGTGGAGGCGCTGAAGCAGAAGAAGCTCGGAAGGCAATGGTCGAATCACACATCGCCGATGCCAGAGCCAAGGTCGCCGAGGCCAAGAAGGCCGATAACAAAACAGCGGGGCAAGAAGCGAAGCAGCAAGAGAAGCTAACAACGTCAGGGCGGGGGAGAAGAAGCCTCGCCGTACGTTCCACATCGCCTTCTTCAACATCACCACCTGGGGCCCCCAGGCGCAAGGTCACTTCAAGGACAGCGTGGGCACAATAAGATGTTGACATCATAGGGATTGCAAAGCACCACATGCGCAGTGGGCGCAACATCAGGAGAGCAAGTGCTGCAATCAGGAAGAGCGGGCAACGGGCAAAGCAGCTTCTCTGGACAGAGGCCAGACCTGAAGAAGGGCCAGACGCCAGAGGAAGCACGGACGGGTTGACAAGACCAATGTTTGCAGCCAACGACAAGCTGCCAGGGTTCCCGGAACAATACTTTCGCGGGGAGGGCAGCGACGACACGGTGGCCCTCGTGCAGCTCAGGAGCGTGCGCATCGCCGTGGCTTTCGTGCACCTGGAGTGCGGGATCGGAGTCACAGGGCGCAACGTGGAGATCCCCAGCGACCTGATGGAGAAGATGGCAGTTTGGGGAGGCCCATGGGTGGCCATGGGCGACTTCAATCACACGCAGAAGAGATGAACGCCTCCCTATGGCCCAGAATCCTGGATGCGCAGGTATTTGCTGCAGAACAGCCCGCCCCCACCTGCGTCCCACGAGAGTGCAGGGCGAGATGCCTCGACTGCGCCATCTGGCACCATGCTACAGCTCACTGGAACTCATCAGGACGGCGCCCTGGAAGCCGCACATCGGCGTCCGACTGCACCTTGTGGCACAACCGCATCTCATCCTAGGCAAGGAATTAAGAAGGCCAACAGCGCTACGGACCCCGTGCAGTGAGATAAGGTTGCGCGCTCAAGGGTGGCATGTAGGAGAATAGCACGTGGCGATCAAGACGTGCTAACACGGCGAGAAGAAGCGCTACCAGAAGCAGGGCTCGATCACCTCGCAGAGCATCCAGAACAAACATAATATATCCAGCAACTATAATACAACAAAGAGGTCCCGCACACCATCTACAGGGAAGTCTGGGAGGAGGCGGAGCAGATCACAACCCGCCAGTTCGTCGAGCAAGAAGTACCGAGGTACCTGAACAACACCATCCGCGCCAATATCATGGAGAAGGACATCGTGGATCTAGGCAAGCAACACAGACAGTTCGCGCTCACGCTGGAGGTGCTCATGCAAGAGCCTGGGGATCCCAACCCAGGACTGGAAGAAACACTTCGGACATGGCAGGACCCCCACCTACAAAGTCGCCCCCATCAAAGACGCGATGAAGGACACATCATGGGCAGCCGGAGAATGGAAGGACCACGCATGGTGGGCAGAGATAGCCAGCCTGGTGAAGCCTATTAGCCACCACGACCACGGCCATCTTCAACGACAAGAAGCCGCGCCGCAGCCGAGCTTCACTCTGGAGGCGGGGCTACTTGCCGACGAGGCAACGCGAGAAGGTGGAACGGGCCCGTCGGCACCCAATCCAACAACCGCGCAGTCAACGGGAAGGGATGCAAACGACGACGGGTTTCCCTCATCCACCTCGGGCCCGTCGAAGGAGGGGTGGAGGGGGGCTCGGTGGCTCCCCCCCCCGAGGCAGGAGCGCCCGATGGGAAGCAGGGCAACGCCGAGCAGTTCAGCAACCCGGAGGATGGTGTCGATGAGAACGAGCACAGCGCCCCCGTGGACAACGGCTCCCGCGTCTGGACTGCGGCCCGACCTTGGCTGTCTTGCCAAGGCTGCGACGGCGAGCAGGACGGAACCCGCCGAGGCCCCTTGCGCTGCCCCGAGGGAGGCTGGCCAAGAGGGCGGTGAATGACCCCTGTTCGTTGAATCGGCTGGAGGGCCCGAGGCGAGCTCCACGCCGGCCTCGGTGACGTGCACGACTGGGGCCGCCACCTGGGGTGGGTCCAGCGTTGAGGGCACCCGCGCAAAATAGCCCTGCAGCAGACGGCAGCGCCGATGACCGAGCCGCACGCCCAGGCGCAAGACACGCCGCCACGGTACGCGTCCTGGACCTGCTCGGTGGGCTCGACTCCAGGGCACCCGCTCCCCCAGCATCTGGTCACGCCGCCAAAAGACGCGTTCTGGACCTGGTCGGCGCGGGATCCCCTGGAGCACCCACCCCCCGAGCATCAAGCCACGCCGCCAAGGGACGCGTCCTGGACCTGTTCGGTGGGGATAGATCAGGGGCACCCAAGCACAACCACACGCAGAGTAACCAAGTACAGTCTGGAGGGATGCAGAGAGGTGCCCTTCCCCCGCCAGCACGCTGCACCATGGACCAGGAAGACCTCGACGCGTTTGCCGACATTGACGAGCTCGACCTGAAGTCGACGTCGCCACAGGACGCAGGCGTTGAAACAGATCCCGAGGAAGTCCCGATGTCGGGGAACACCTCGGGCTCAAATTCCCAAGTTTTGCCAGGATCATCAGAGGAGCCACGATGCAGCGTCGAGGATCCAGACAGCGGCAGAGCACAACAAGAACAAGCAGGGA